CCAAGCCTAGTAACGAACTCAAGGTCCTCAGACAGCAGCTGACCAGAATCCAGTACAAAACCACTCCACCTGCACAGATTAAGAACAATGAAGATTAACAGACACCACCAACCTCCTGCGTGGAACAAGCACACATTGATCCTGCATGGAATAAGCACGTGCTTATTACACAAACAATGGTAACTGATCAGCCTACTGCTTAACACAGGTGATTTAATTAGTCTACTACAAAGGTATTGTAACACATATAAACCCCGCCTTCCTCAATATCAGGATCCCCAAGCATTAGGCTGGGACATCGCATGAGCATTGCTTAAGAAAAAATCCTCTGTAATTCTGTACTTTGTCTGTCTCTCTCTCTCCTCGATCAGCAGTGGACTCCCAAGGCACAAGTGTGGGTGTGAGCCTCACTAGAAATAGATTCGCACCAGTCCCTTTGAGTCCCACTGGAACGGAGGTGGGTTTGAGTGCCACCAGAACTCCTGGTGCATTACTGGGTTCAAGTCCTACTAGAAGGGAAGTGAATCCCACTGGAATTCCCTTGACATAAGCTTATAAGCCTGTTACATCATCTACTACACTCACATGATCACTCACTCCTTCCTATTATTCATTAAAGTATTGTGTAACACCTATCTTTGTCACCTTGAACAGCAGTACTTATATTCTCTCTCTTTCTTACATGTTTCTCTTAGCCTGAATAGACTGGATATTCCTTGCCATAAGAAATGAAAATAATGTGAATATAATTTGTGTTGATAAGTAATATTATGCATCATGTAAGCTGTCCCATCAACAGAAATAATGTATTTAAAAAAAAAAAAATTAGACCTTATCAAGCCTATTTTTGAATGTGAAATTGAAGTACATGCCAGTTGGTTGGGTGTTTTTTTAATTTTTATGATGAATAGATTACTGCTCCAGTAAAAATGGACAAAATCCATGATGTTTTACCTAGGAAACAAGATGATTAATTGAAGCAAAAATTTGTAAGATAATTCATCTTATGTTATTAGCCTAACAAAAAAAATATTTCATCAAACTATACAACCAGATGAAAGACATGTGTTCTATCCACACAGCTTAAATGATCTATTTAAATGTACAAAAAAATTAGGAAAAAAAAAATAACAACCTTGTTATGAAGGCACTGTTAGCAAAATTACTATTTTCTTTCTTAATGGATAAAGGTTCTCAAACAGCTGTTTTTCACATTATAGTTCCTCGTGGTAATCCTTTTTTCTTCCAGCTTCTAATATAAACATGATAGGTGACAGGGATAATGAAAACAAATAATTGGAAAATAGCATCATTCCATGAGAAAACAGCTATGTTTACTTGCATAAACAAGGATCATCATTCAGCAAAGTCTTATTATACTTTATTGAGAGGAATTTATCTACTCACATTTACTGACACCAATTAAAAAAAATAAGATGAACACTCAATGAATACTGTAACAAGTGCACTACAAATATAATTTTGTAAAGACGGATTGTAACCTCACAATTGCTTCAAGCAAGACCTAAGTGTGATCTAACACCAAAAGGTAGACTCCTGGGCTCTTATTCCAGGCACTTCTCTGAACTGGACTAGAGTTTGTGACATGCTGTAAGGTATCCCCATGCCTCTAGTTGCTGTTCCATGAATGAAAGGTTCTCCCATAGGTCTTAGATCTGCCAGCACTATGTGGATCTCTTGTACAGCTTAAGGAAGCTCTAGTGGCTCCAGAAACTTCTGTGTGAGTTAGCAGTTCAAACTCCCATCACAGCCAGTGAAGGTCCAATCGATACAGATGATGGAGTCTAAAGAGCAGTTCAGCTGACCAAGTTCTAGAAAAGTGTTTTGTGTTCCTGAATATGTCTACTGCATAAGAGAGATATATATTGGATAGCCAATCTGTCCTCAAATGTGCTGCCTTATGCAGATGTGCTTGAGATCATGAAGCATCTAACCTGACTTACTCCATTGGACACAGCTGTAGAAGATAAGGCTTAGCTCTGGTATGATTGTTTTCACTGTCTCTATTGGCTAAAACAGAAGCCTATGTAGCTAACGCTCCAACAGGCACCTTTTACTAAAAAATTCATTTAGGCATTTTAATCCTGAACTTAATCTAATTAAACTTAATTTAATCTCTCGTAGCCTGTCTTCCATGCACAGAAGATAGTCATCAAAATTGTATCTATTTTAGTATGTTAATGAACAAAAGTTAAAGATACCACTTCTCTGAATAAAGAAAATCAGCACAGGATTACAGGGGTTTTAGAATAATATCATTTATAAGAGGGAAAAAAAAAAAAGTATATTTAATACTCTCAATACAGCTTCTTTTTAAAGGAAGACAGAATAGGAATTTTTTTTTTGCTTAATATTGATGATCAATTGCAAATTTAACGTACTTAGATTTTCTATAATCAGTATATTTAAAGAAAGAAAAGTCCTTCAAAAACAAGAAATACAAAAAACCTCAATAACTTATACATTTATAATAAAGAAGGCTTTACCACCTCAAGAGTACAGAAATATATTTTTTGTAAAGCCAAACTTTAAGAACTAAACTTTAAAGTGTTACCAAATAAACTAGCACAATTACATGCACTCAGTTCCCCCTTTTAAGAACACACGTAAGTATCCTTGTGAAAAACAAATAACAAAGCAAATTAAGCAGTGCTCTGAGCTTCTGTGGGTTTGGGGTCTTTGTTTTGTTTTGTGTTTTTTTGCACAAGTACTTTTACAAAAGATACAAACTCATTTTGCAGATGCTGGTGGAAAGATATCTCACTCTGAAGTTGATTCTTTTTCAGACAAGAAAAGCGTTATACAATAGACTCAACAATTATTTTGCAGTGCTTGACATGTTATAACATATTTTAATATACTATGAATAGTATAGTCACAGTGAATAGTAATAGGAGCTTAAAAACAATACCACAAGGATGGAGAACGAAGACAAAGAGAATAGCATCAAAATGAAAATAACGTTTTTTTTCCTCTAACAAAAATCTTTTGCTTGTTTACTCAAGTAGAGGAAAATGTAAAATATGCATGTCATTGCCTGGTATCTCACTGTTGACATGATATATTAGCAGGGGAAGAAATATTTCTAAGATAGCTGATAAAAAACTTGTGTCCCAGAATTCTTTTGTTTTCTTGAAGTCAAAATGTTCCATGGCAAGAAGTATTTGCCCAAGTCTTCAAAAGGAAAATCACTAAGACCTAGAATTGACTGGGTCAACCTATGATCCTAAGCTAAACATCTGACCCTAAAGTTCTAATTTTATCATCACCTTTTTTAATTAAAATGTTGAATAGATTTTTGTTTCCTTTTCTCTATAGAGTATCAAAACCAGAACAACATATTTCAAAGAGAAATTCACTTGTGATTAATTGATTGAAAAATACACACCAAAGGAATTTCTAATGAAAAAATATTTTTTATAACAATAGTTACAGTCAGTAAATTTTCTTAACTGAAAAACAAACACAAAATAATCTATTTTAGGTTTCATTTGAGTCAAATTCTCTGTTGAAATGTGAAGATTTGTTACTAACAGTTTCTGCAGGACACAAAAATAAAATACCAAGGAGTTTTAATGATACTCTCATGATTCAAACAGGAATAGTGATATGGAAATAAATCACTTACACCACAGAATCATAGAATCATTTAGGTTGGAAAGGACCTTTAAGATCATCAAGTCCAACTGTTAACCCAGCACTGCCAAGTCCACCATAAACCATGTCCCTAAGCACCACACCTACATGTCTTTTAAATACCTCCAGGGATGGTGACTCTAACACTTCCCTGCACAGCCTGTTCCAATGCTTGATAACCCTTTTGGTGAAGAAATTCTTCCTATTATCCAATTTAAAAGTCCACTGGCACAACTTGAGGCCATCTCCTCTTGTCCTATCACTGGTTACTTGGGAGGAGAGACCAATCCCCACCTCGCTACAACCTCCTTTCAGGTCTTTGTAGAGCATGATCAGGTCCCCCCTCAGCCTGCTCTTCCCCAGACTAAACACCCCCAGCTCCCTCAGCTGCTCCTCATCAGCCTT